ACCAAATGCTCCTTATTAGCAAAGTTGATAGAAACTTTGATATACACCTTTTTATGTCACGCTAGTAGGTCTGGAAGACGGTCGGATATTTTTAAGTTTTGAACAGTTGCACAAAAAATCGCACATCATATTACGTGAATATAAATTCGCAACAAACAATCTATATAACAGAAGATCACTTGCCGCGGTTATTAAATGTTGTCTGTCACAGTTTGACAGCGAAGGTTGGTTTTACATTTGCTCGAGATCAATCTAGAAATCACGATTGACGAATTTATACAACTGGTATTCCTAATTATCCCTGATTTACCACAAGCCGTTATTGAAGTTTTTAAAAAGTAAGAGTGTTGTGTCGAATTTTAAACTTTAGATTTGCTTTTGTTATAAACAATATGGCGTCTCCAAATTTGCCAGTTTTGCCACTGTCGGACATTTTTTGTTTCGTTATTTTATACTACGGTAAGTTATGTAATTTATCAACAAGTTGCCTAGAACTGTTGATAAAAATATTGGCTTGTGAGGAGAATTCAGTTGCTGGGCTAGCATTGACGGATATATTTTCGTCATCCAAATATTTGTCGAATAGCGGAAGGAGTGGTAATTTCATACGTATTACAATTTTAAAGTACATTCGTTTTCAGTGAAAACGGAAAACAATAATGAAGCTGACCACACCAAAGTAACCGACTCATCAGTATCGTTTGCGGACATCGAAACCCTGATCTCTCTCTTATATGAACAAAACAAGTACATACTGTACGCAGTAAGGCGTTTATTGCCATTCATTATAGCATAAGTTGAACAGCTTATAAAAATGGATCTTGGACCATAGCTTAATAAGCACAACAACTTGTCGATGTTTAAACCTAGCTTGTACGATCGTAATGAGCCTTCTAAAAATGCCTCGAAAAGAACCTACGCTAGTCTAAATAATGGTACATCGTGGCATTTAATGAGGAATAAGTAACTTATTTAGTGACTGCTAAAGGACATAAAAAACATTTCTGAAGATTGAATGTTCGGTGACTACTTTGACAGTAAAGGTTAAATAACTTGTACAAAAATTTTGTCTATGTGCATTATCAGAATAAGTTTCCCGAAGTTAAAAAAATTAAACTTAGTTAGAGGATATGTAAATTTGACATTCACAGACATACTTCCCCAAACGAATTCATATGCAACGAAATCTTTTTTGATGCCTTGCAAAATAGGCCAATTATTATTTAGTTAATGGATTATACTTTTAACTTTGTCAATATTGTCATACTTAATGAATTTCTGGAAATTGTCATTTCTATCAATTGGACTGTTGTGGAAAACGAAGTAGAACCAAACTCTTACTTGTTCTGTGAAAAAGTTTATGTTAAAGAACCTAGTTCACACTTTGCGACAGAGTAATCAGTCTTTTAAGTCAAATTCTGGACTTTAGACAGCTCATTCTCCCTTAGTGTTCGTAATTTTTACGATGTCCTTAAACCAAATTTTATGGTCTATTAGTCGCTCATTGTATATTTTACACCCACTTGGTATTTTGGTACATTTGCGAGCAAAAATGATTCTTATATTTCATGCAAACATATGATCTTACTAGCTTCAACATTCACTGACCTGCCTTCTCTCTGTTATAGTCCACCGCTGTCGGTAGTAAAAGAGGCCCTTACTTCATCTGGCCATTCTCAAAACTACAGAGTGGTTGACTTTTTGGCGGATCTCGTACACAGACTGCGGACGAAAATATAGAATCCCACAAATCGAGTAAGTATTTCTTTCGATGTCAGGCATGGAGATGTCTAACCGAGCAAACATTTCGGCTAATTAGTTAATCAGTTTGACTGTCAGAAATGAAATAAGTCTAGACGACAACATAAAATATTGAGTTTACATTGATAAAGGGTGCCTGTGGCAATAATCAATCAGTTCTGGTAATATTGGGCGAGAAATAGACGCGACAAGTTAAAGGTGTAACACTTATTAGTATTCATGTACTCCTGTGAATCACAACTTACTATCACTATCTAAACCCATGACTTTTGTTGTTCAGTTGGTGTCTCGTTCTCTAGCACCAATAGCTATCAATATCAGCCCTTTTCGAGTACGACACAAGCACGCATGTTTACGAATTCACTTTTCGATACGAGAGAATTAGTCGGGCTGATGCTCGGGATCTGTTTTGCCTCTAGTTAACAGAGTGCATGGACGACAAACCTTAAACGCGACGCTTTATTTCAACATCATCCGCCGGCGCCATCTATGGCGATGAATTTCGGGTTCTTAGATGTGGTCTGTCAAGTGCAGCCTACAGTGCCAGCTGATTACTTCCTCTATTGTCGTCAGGTTGACAGCGCCTAAAGGCAGCAGCCATTGAAAATTTGGCTTTTACAGTAACCTAATACAAGGGAATTTTTTATCTTAAGAAAGCCCGTTTTGAAACCAATGACACTTATTTATATTTTGTGAACGAGTTGTGTGAAGCGGTCTACTTCTGTCTGACGATGACCCGTCCATGACATAGGAAATTGAGGTAAAGTACACAACGTCCTCAGGCCTATCGACATGCAGAAGAATGGTATCGTTGTTTTAGCATGAAATCGTCCGGCGGCATTGAGGACATATTCAATTGCTAGATGGGGAAGATTTGGTTTCATCTGGCGTTTTTATGGCACCTGAGCCCCAGGACCGAAAGCAAATTCCTTACATAGTTAAACGTTCCAACAAGGGACAAAATATTATTCGATGTCATAGCGGATGGCCGAGTGTCCCTAAACTTTTGTCTGGAAAAATTTATGATAGACTTTAGTCAGGTTTCTGATCTGTTGGTGGCAGAATATTGACATCCTTAACTTTCCATAAGCTTCTTTTTTTAAACTTATCGAATGATGTAATTAAACCACGAAAATAGATTGAAGCCTTACGCTGCATTTAAGGCCACTGCTTTGTTATTCCTTGCAAAGTGGGTCTAAAATTGGCCTCTTTTTGTCTTTTGATGGAATTTCAATTTTCTGAAAGAAACATACAATGGCCTGCTCCGTCCGTGGGAAGAGAAACAGGACAGAATTATTACAGTCATGTAGGACAGCTTCTGGGTTTAACGCCTTTTGAAATACCATTAATAATCAGTCAAAAGCAACACAAGGACGGCTCCTGTAGACTTTAGTTGGCAGTTCATAAATAAGCATGCGACTGCAAGGACAACTAAGCAATCTCATTCAATTGGACTAGAGATAGTTAGCTGTGGTAAGTTAAGATTAACAAGGAAGATCGTTTTTGTGATAAACGTTTTTGTTCATCTTCTGGATATAAGAGACCTCACCATTTGTCTCTATAGACTAAAATTCGTCTAGGTTATTTTGCTGCTGAGAAATACACACTGATAATCAAACTGCATAAAACATATTTTAGAACATATTCCTCGCTTTTTGGAGTGGAAGCTATGCACTCCTTAGACCCATGAAGCAATAATTCAAAACAATGGTGCAGGAAAAGTCGTCACGTATTTGCAAACGATTTTTGTCTTACGCACCGTTTTAAAAACTTCTAGGACAAGCATGCTTCCATGCGCAACCAAATGAATATAAAAGTCTTTTAACTGTGTATCTTACTACCAGCCCAGTTTACTGCCTTGACTCAACCAAAGGTAAAACGAAAATACTGTACGCGATTTTTTAACCACCAAACAAAAAACATTAACCACTGCATATTGCCTGAGTTGTAAATATGCTCCTGAAAATTTCGTAAAACCATATGATTTTGAGCAGATTAAGCAGCACTACATGAAAAATAAAATAATAAATTACGACAAATGCAAAGCATTACTTCAGAGCCTCATCGGCGACTTCACGGAGTTTATAATGTCAGTGGATGAGCACCGACCAAAACGTCATTTTTTCTGTGTTAATCACTTCCTTTTCCATGTTGCTCGTGAAACTCCCGAACGAACTTAAGGTATATTATCCATTTGCAGTCTGACGAGGTTTTTAGATAACTAAGTCAAATTGCGGATGAATGGCAAACTCGCGTAAAAATTGTCATACCTGTTTAGCAGAAGACAATACATGCTACCACTTTATCCGGCAACTGACTTGAGTATTTCATGCAACTTGTCATTTTTGGCCACACCAGAGGAGTGGCTTCTGACAAATGACAATACCGTAGGTTCCTCGGCATGTAATAATAGTGCAGTAAACAGCGTCACTTCTCACGTAGGTTAGGATCCAAACCCAACTATGCTAGGAAACTGCGACCAATTTAAAGAATTACGCAAATATTGGGCTGGTCGGACGGCCGAGTTTTGGGCCTGCTGCAGAAAGTGCGGTGCTCAAGTGAGGACTCAAATAATCGACATCAATCTGCCAGTCGTGCATCAAACACTGCAAGAACATAACACTAACGAGACTAAAGGTCATTTTCGCCAGTGTTGAACTAAACATTAGATGAGTTGTACCATGTTTCATTCATTGACGATGAGCCCGAGTGAGTGTCCAAAACAGCGGATAATTAAACAACTGGTCCCAACGATAACCTTCCTGTTTTCCGATCAATTGCCTTTTCGGCGCGCATTTTTTTACCATTTGGGATGAATATATGCATATGTATAATGAATAAAACGCGTACTAATAGACTTATCCTGTCGGCGACAAAAAATGGTCTTTGATGCTGTCTAAGATGTTGAATCAGTATGAACTATATGTATTTAGATCAACTGAGAATATATTTTCCATTTCAGCCTTGACCGTGTACTGCGCACGCAGGCAAGAAAACACTTTCTCATGCTGTGTTTTATTTTAACTGATGTACATCACAGGTGGGTCAGGAGTTGATATAATTTAGGCGCACATATCTCTCAACTCAGACGCAGTACAAGGTCGGATAATACTACTTGCTTGTCGGGACAGCAGAAAGTTGACCAAGTTCCGCAGTTTATTTCTGGTACCATTGACTCTTGCAAATTTGATTTAAATGCTTAGTACCCCTCTTCCCTAAGGACATTTGTCTATGTATTTGATCGATAAATGCTAAGTACCAAGCAAAAGAGCTTGCTGTACTGTATTCCTATTTCTTAAATGAGAATGATGTTGTACTCCAACGTTTTAGCAGATCTTTGGGAGCCGCTTTATTGGTCGGGCACACTGAAGTTCGATGCTGCATTATAAAAGGTTTTTGCAAGAAGTAGAATGGCACAAGTCTACAGAGCGACAAAGTATGCTAAACGAGGAGAAACAATGCATGTACAGGAAATCGTTTTATTTTTTGTTTATTTTCGAGTTCCATCCCTGTTGACCTGTCACAAAGAACCGAAGCAGCATATATTACTGACCGAAAGTAGTGTCTGAAGGGTCTTTCGGTGCCACCTGAGCGTGAATAGCTTTCTGAAAGCTGAGTGTATACTCTAAGCCCGTTTGAATCGCGTCTGCTATATCGTTAAAAAGAATACTTAAAGCAGCTAATAGTAGCATATTTCGGACCTAGAGGAGCTAGACTCAGCAGGAAGCGATGGGGATGATCGGACCCAGAGGTGAAAAATGTATTAATGAGTTTTGGGCTTTTACGGAAGTCAGTCATCAGAGATAAAAAGGATAGTATTTGCGGCCTACTTCAGAAAAACAAAGAGCAGCAAGAATCGTCCAATAATGCGCCTTTATTGTCCTGGTACCGGCGGCAAATTAATTTGCTTATTTTATGCTCTCGCCACACACTTCGAACGAAAACATGATGTACAGTCTACTATCTGAACGGTCAGAGGGCCCATTACAGAGTGAGACCTAGACTTCCAATTGGCCGATAATAGGGCAGATGACTTATTGCGTCGATTGAAACAGTTAGCAGGAGTGGCCGCACCAGTTAAAGGTAGGCACAGTCGAAAAAAAAATAGTCTCACGGTTGACGACATTAAACTGACGAAATCATTCGCTCAGCGAATAAAATCGCTGAGTAAATTAAGGTCGGACTGTGACATTGTAATGTTTCGTGCAAATAAATAGATTTAACGACAGTGGTAGACCGAGCCGACTACGAAGGACTGCATAAAGCCCTCGCCTGTCATCCGAATTCCTGCACGTTGACCCCTTCGTCAGAAGCCAAGTCCACGATCATTTAATTTACCAAGCTTCTTTATAGAATGAAGCGCTAAATCACAGTCTCATTTAATAAGAGGTGGCAATCGGAGTCGGCGGACGCAGCACTTGCTCTCCTTAGTGAATTAACCAAAACAAACTGTTTAATGACACCCAGTCATTGCTTTCCGGAATAACGTACAACAGTATTAAAAAGGCATTTAATCGAAAACAGGGATCTCCTGGGAGTGGACATTCCATAAGTTTGTTTGAATTCTCACAAGAGACCTACACTTCCAGCAGACAAAAACGTGAACAAAGGAACTCATTTGCATTCCACAGTCGCTCGTCTAGTTACGAAAATGACCCTATGGAGATTCGAAATAAATGCATGCAGTCATTATGAGTCTGGTCTTGACGTCGTTATGTCGGCACCGCATTCCTAAAAAGCAGACGGAGAATGCTTTATAATTTCCTTATTCTTGACTCAATTATCCCTGGCGCTCAATTAGCAAGAGAAGCACGGGACAAGCAGCTGCATTCCGTGCTCAAAAATCTCACAAGTCGAGTACCAAATGACAAAAGAGAAACATGAAGATACTGGAATGTAACCAACAAGGCATAATTCTTGGTTTTATATGTCAATCAAGAGTTCGTCTATCGCAGTTGATACCGATCACCATTGTTCCAGAAGGTTGCAGTGTCGATATGCTTTGGAGTTTGATTATGATAAAGTAGGTCTGGGCTGCGTCTGTCTACTTAATAGTTTCCATACCACCCGCTTTCAAACGATGTACTAAGATCAAGATCACAAGGGATGGACGTGGGTGCAGCGGCGGATAAAACCGAGCATTCACGCGTGCCGCACATGACCTGGCCACTGGATCCACACGTGCGTCGCTTCAGCAAGGGGCATCGGACCTCACGTAAGCTCTGGTGCACGGCAGTCCGCTCTTGTTGGTATCAGCGCGGCCACTCGTGCATATTTTCGTCAGTCTTTCTAGCAAATCTTGTCGGCTTAATACTTGCGCCGCCAATAGCTGGGTCCCTGATTATTAGTACGAGGCCTTTTGTCGAGTGGCTGAAGGCAGTTATGGCTCAGGCACACACGCGCGCGCTGTGACTGACAACAACAACAACAGTTGGCTCATGGCATGATGAACACAAATGCTGTTTCGACTTCCGAGCTGTTTTTTACGCCCGGCCGGTAGTAACTGTCCGACTAATATTATCGCCCTGAATTTCGATCTGGGACCTTCTCGTCGTCGGCCTCCGTGCACCAACAAGTGCCATTCATCACGCACCAAGAAGATAAGCCTTCAGCCCAAGCCCAGTCTTAAGAAAGACCGAAATATTTCGTCACTTAGTAACTAAACGTACCAAAATCCTTATTATGTCGTGTTAGTCCCAGAACGCGTTTATCCGCTTATAGCAGGAGAGGATTTGTTAAATTAGCGTTTGAGCAGCTTTGCTCTTCCCCCACGCAAAACCCACTAGCCTGTCCAAGCTTGTGGGTCAACTGATGATGACGGTGAGCGCAGAGACTGGCGTGGCGCTAAAGTTCCGTCTGCATTTCCGACACGATCTTGCCCAAAAATAAAAACGGCCACATCCCATAAGACGGGTTTCGGCAAAAATGAGATATACATACGCTAAAGCGTGGTACCGCGCGTGTCGAAACAATGCTAGCGGACTACATTGCATGGTTGTTGCGTTAATGGCATGTACTGTTTGTTTAAGTGCTGGCGCGTGCACACGAATGATCGAGCAGGTCATGCATCATTTATGTATGTTTATATATGCGTGAGGTCGGACAGTGGGCTGATGTCTGGGAGAGGGAAGGGGAGTAAGGTTGACCCCGGAGACTCCGTCCTCATGTCAGCCGGCGCATATTGCTCAATATAAACAATCAAGCGCGCTTTTGAATTACCACGGCACATCAAAAGACGTGGCTCGGAAGGCTGCAAACTGACGAGATAACTGAGTCCTCCTCTCAGGACGCAGAACCAGGCTGCAATGGCTCTCTCTCAACGTGGTCTTTATGGTACTCCAGTCAACTGGGTTCCGGCCGCCCCCCTTTGTTGGTTGTGGGAAATCCTGGTTCACCGTAAGCTGACCAGGCGCGTGAGACATTTTTATCTCTGTCAGCCACCGCGCTCCATCCTGCCTCCAGTCATTTTGGATCTGTTTTGATAAACGGCTCACGGGAGGGTGAAGGAGCGAGTACAGCAGGCACAGCGCAAGTCGTCTATCACTACAAAATAAGCCACTCGCAAGTCGCCGTACCTGTGCCTACCCTGATATGCGACACATGATGGTCATCGTTGATAACAACAGTCGAGGTGTCGTGTGTGTACGGCTGTAGTGGGCTGGACGCTCGTCGCAGGTGTTTGGCCAATCTACTTTCGTCGATGTAACTGGATGGACGTTGAACGACTTCACTGTGACGAAAATGCCCTATCGCAGAGAAACTGTCCGTACTTATCACGTACAAAGGGGCAGCATAAGCCATGCTATCTGGGCTTGTCAATGCAGGCACAGACGCAGCTGTTGCACATTCCTGCAAGCTATACACGGACGGTCCCAAACAAAGTATATTGATAAACCCGATGTATATATCTACATCGCTCCGTCCCGGTACCCCGTTCTTATCTGTGGCTCCATGCGGCCATTCTCAGCACAACGGCCAAACCCCGATAACCTGCAGCATGTGTGTTCCTTCAAACCGGGTAGTTACTGACTAATTTCCATTCGCCTTCCCCAGTCCCGAACAAAAAGGTCTACGTCATTCGCTATGGAAGTTCGCCTCGAGGACAAGGCGATCACGTAGTTATTTCTCTCGATTTGCACTTCTGCCTTCTCACGTTGGCTGAACGAGATAAAAATGCCAAACTTTACCGACGCATTGGCCTTAAAGGCTTTGTAAATATCCACCTCCTTTTTTATGCGCTGAAAAAACCTTTGACCTTCAGCAGTATCTCCCGTTGAGCTATGGTGGATGATCATCGAAAGAAGCATCAACATGCTCAGTAACCTTGGTTCTACAATAACAGCACACCCAAAGAACGGCTGTTGCTCATGGACTCTTCTGAATTTAAACCTTCCAAAAAAACCTGCTAAACTGAGATATTAATGAGATAGACCTGCCACCCATGCTCATGATAGGGTGTAGGGAGTGCCCAGCTGCGGGTTAACCGCGTAGGGATGGCTAACGCAACATCTGAGTGAACCGCTCTGAACATCTGAATTTCTGCATGATCCTCCACAGTCCTTCGCGATTCACCGTGTCAGAGGCTTTCGTCAGATCCACGAAGGTAGAGTGGAGGTGGGTCCGCATCTTCTGGCATTTCGTCTGAAGTTGGCAGGCGGCAAAGAAAATGTTTGTGGTCCCGCGATGACAGCGGAAGCCGCGCTGGCTTTCTGGCGGACGACCATGTTTTAGGTGGTTGTTCAGACCGTTTAGAAGGATGCGAGCAAAGATTTTCCCGGCGATGTCCAGCAAGTAGCTGCCTCGGTGGTTATTACAGAGTTGGCGGTTTCCTTTCCGTTTGTATAGATGCACAGTTGTGGCGCTTTTGAAATCCTGCGTAACTTTTGCTTGACGCCAAATCTCCTGGAGGAGCGCAGTCAAATGACCCATGAGTTGGGGCACCGTGCTTGTAGATCCCAGCAGGGATGGCTTCCGATCCGGGCGCTTTCCCGCTAGCGAGCTGCTGCATGGCCTGATGGTTTCGTGGAGAGAGGGCGGGAGGTCAAGGTCGACGTTGGTCTCCACTTGCGGCAGACGGACAGCGGCGGCATCGGAGATGGTGGAGGGGCGGTTGAGAACACCTCGGAAGTGTTCGGCCCAACGCTGTAGAATTTGTCTTCTCAGTGAGTAGGGTACTGCCGTCGGTGCTGAAAAAAGATGTAGTGCATTTGGCCGGCAGACGGCAGACAGCTTTGATCGCAGTGCAGAAGGTCTTCCATTTGTTGCGGTCCACGTACCCTTGGATCTCCTCGGTCTTGCAAGCCATCCAGGCGTCCTGCATCTCACGCAGTCGCTGTTGTTCAGGACGACGACTGCGATAGGAGGCAGCTCACACACACCGTCGGTTTCGATGGTGTCCACCGCGTGCTCCAAAGCAAGGCGGGACAGGGACGGTGACTTGTGCGAAAGTTTAGTTTATAGTGATAGTAGACTTGCACAGCATCTAACGCGCTCTCCTCTCCCCCAACTGGACCCGATTTCAAGACAGAATGAAGAAGACCGGAGGTGGGGGCGTGCCGCTGGATGGCACGGTCGAGCTCGCGCCTTGGCGTCCACACAGCAAATAACCATCTTTTGATTAACAACAGCAATGGGAGGTGGCAGGGGTCCAGTGTGCGCGACGTACGCTGGCAATCGGGTCCGCCACCGCATCCCCGCACCCAGAAATTTTGACATTTGTTATGGTGCGCGAGTCCGATAACGCCTGCCAGAATCCGATATAGCCCCGTGTTCGTCCAGCGCATCTACCACGTGGACCGTTTGGGGTGCGCACACACACCAGCAACGCAGCATCCCACGTCTCTTCTGTAGCAGGCTTGCGTACCACGTTTTCATCGCCGATAAGGCGGACGAAATCCCGCAGAGAGTCCGTTTCGTACTTCAACGACTCTCTGCAAGAAGGCGTTTCGTCGGACGTCCATGTGGACCAACTTCCTCTGCACTTTAAAGGGATGATCATACGAAGAAGTCATCAAACTCGAGGGCACACTAAGGACCCTGGGTAAGTTGGAATACAGCCAACACACAATTCCCTGTAATTGACAGGAAATAAATTAATTTCAGCCAGTCTGACTTCGTAAGCTGATGACCAAGATTCTTGGCCATCTTCGCGGCCCTCACCTGCTAAAAGAGTTAGGAATATTGGTGTAACCACAAGTGGGTTTTTAATCCGTCTTAGTTGTTTTGAACAAAGAATTATTTGGAGGTGCAATTGAACCCATAGGGTTTATAGACAATTTCATTTGCGAAGACTTAGTAAACTGAAAGGAAGTAGTGGTTCGCTAATTGGTAGTAAGTCGCATTTCACTTGGCACGAAGTCGAATTCAGATCTTATACCGCACTTTTCTGAAGGTATGGCCCAAAATATTTGTCAGAAAGGCATGTAAAATGACAATAAAGTAGAGAAGCTGCCGCTCAAAGTGATTAAGAGGGAATGGCGAACGTTGAAGATAGGATTACTAGAGAATCACCTGACATAGCTGCTACTTATTTAGAAGCGAACGAATGCGTTTAAGGGCACCTTGCATGGTGGAGAGTCTGGGAGCTCTTGGCATCAGTTGCTTTTTGCTCTCTTCCTATCTCCAACTAGGCTGCAGCTCAACTAAACTTCATACAGAACTGCTCACTAAATTCCGTCACAAGTTGGGCAGTGCAAGGATGTTCACCGCCGAATACAGTTAGAATGCATAGATTTGGCAAAAAAGCGCAATTTGGCAAAAACAAAAAGGAAATTTAAACTGAAAATTAGCAAAAAACGAAGATCTACGCGATTTTATTCGAAAATCGACGGATATAAGTGCTTAATCTCCCAGGAAAAGACGTATAATAGTTGTTTTTGGCAGTTTTGAATAATTCATTTGACCCAACGATGTAAACTCGATGGTCCACGCAAGCAAGGGCAAGGCTTGAGTACGACCAACGTTACAGCCACCTGAGCTATGAGACCCACCCGTGAGCCATGAATTAAATCCCATTTGGGTCAGGCTACCGCGCAGCCTCTACAACGTATGAAATCCACCAATTCGAATGCAGCAAATCGACTGTCCAAGCAGCATTTCTTAAGTGAGATACCGACCAACATTTTTTGTTGGAAATCCAACAGCTCAGCTTTCGAACACCCAGGTTTGGGCAAATGCGTTCTCGAAACTATTAATTTTACGCTCTGAGTCGTAATTTGACGTTTTCAAAAATCTGACCTAGGTGATGCCCTGGCCTACATTTAAGAGGCCGACGCAAATGAGGCTTCCGTCTTTTATGTTCTTTATATTCGATTTCGTTCTTAAAAGTCAAATATACCCTAGCTGGTCGTAGAAATCACACATTCCGCCTTCCGGCATGCACGGTCGTTCAAAATTAATTGCTCATTGTCAGCCAAGATACGCGTTCCCGGCAGCTTAAAAAATCTTGGAGATCATGGTCAATAATAAGATAATATGCCACTTAATAGACAATAACATACTGAGTGAGGCTCAGCACGGATTCTTCAAAGCTTTGTCTTGCGACAGCTACCACTTCTATTTCGTCGGCCACGTTGCACACTATGGAGCCAATGTTTTTCTCTTTACACTACCTGTTTCGGTTTTACTAATACTCCTGTTCAAAATTTTTTATTTTATCTATCCTCTCGCAAACATCGCGTCCAGATTTTCCTTGTTATCTCCAACTCACCATGCACAAGGCGTAGATTTATTCAAAATAACGTGCTCGACCTGTTCCTTTCTTTCATTTCCGTCAATGATGCCTCAGATTTATTTCAGAATTATAGTTGTTTTCTGTATGTTGATAAATTAAAAGCAAGCATGTGTTTCGGTCGATTTTAAGCCATTTATTTAGAGCTAACTGTGAAAGATTCGTTGACCTCCGTGGAATCTGAACCCACTACAGTAAAATAAAGGCTTGAGTGGAGCTAATATCCTAGTCATGTGAGCCATAAGGTCTCACCGAGAACCGTGAGTTTAATCATATTTGGGTCAAATTAACCGCCCAACCTACTGACAGTTCGCCCGTCGCGTTCGAAGATGTCGATCTTGTGCCCCATGGCAATGTGAGAGTGGGAAAGGTGACTCGGGCGTGAGTTGGTTTATAATGAGGGAAGACTTGCGTGACATCTACCGCACTATCTCCTCCCCCTGAGTCAAATGCCAAAACATAGTTAAGAACACCTGAGGCGCGAAAGGGTGCAGGTGCCTGAAATGGCCGGACCCGCATCTAGGCGCGCCAACACACCGCATGGTCCACAACAAACATCTGACCAGGATTTTAACAAACGACAAAAACGGATCAGAAAGAGGAGAATGACACAAACTACTGGGAAACCACACACATGGCCTGGATGCCCACCAGGAGCACAAGCGCATCTACCGGCAGGGGACTTGGTGTGCTAGGTGTGTCGATACTGCGCTCCGATGTTATGAATACGCATCCGACCGAGTAGGCCCATAAGACGAATGAGTGTGCGTGGAAACCTTGCCAGCACCAGTCCCGCCGAACCCCCTAACCCCCTGGGGCTTCAGATAGCGACAAGGGTCTATACAGGGACTGAATGCGGGGTTGCGGTTTGGTTTTCGACGTAGCAGCATCCTATTGTCCCTCACATGAAAAAAGCGCAGCGGGACGCCTTCTTTCCGTCTCTCCTCGCCCCCGTTTTAAGATACCGACCATGTTGCCCTCAATATAATGTCCTACACATGGCGCAGCGTAGCCCAGCATCCCTCATGTGACCCAAACGTATGTAGACGTCCAAGTGCATCCGCGCTTAACTCTCTCCATAACGGCATTAGACAATAAACGCAATTAAATGACAAGAAGTAGTTTATTGGTAACAAACCCTCCACCAAAGCACGCAGTCAACCCTCATCGACTGTACCTCCTGCATACATCACTCTCAGTGGCCGTCAAGTTTATTTCCCCGATCGTTTATTTACTCGTTTTTTCTAGACTTATGCATAGCCTCCAACGCCGTATTACGTCGCCCTCCGGTCTTGACGGGAGGTACAGTGGTGAGGTATCGGACTAATTTGCCTTAGACAATTTAGTCCCGCTTTCTTTGTTTGGGTTGCTTGTTTGAATGTGACGAAAAACAACATACCTATACAACTCGCTTTGCTGGCCTGCTTAGCTGTCGCACTCTGTTATCAGGTTACTTGACGTTCAGAATTTCTATATTATTCACCGGTCGGTTTTTACTTGCTGCCTTTAATGCTAGGGACTCGTGAGATATAATTTGTTAGTTCATGAGAACATTACCGTTCACGTCAAAACACACAATAAAATAGAAAGCGATTTGATATATGCATTAAGTAATTGTGTTAACACGTTTACTAATGACAATAGTTGACTATTGTAATTTTGTCGCCGCAGACGTTTTGCCGGAGTAAAAAATAATTGCCCGGTTAAAAAAGTATTACTTCTAATACAGTGTAAATTCAGGAGACAGTAAAAGGAGAGAAAAACACCACCTCGTTGAAAATGGTCATTTCAACTTGTCAACTTGTGGTTACCAACGGGATAGTACATAAAAACCCTAAAATGCGAAGGAAAATTATACTACTTAAACAGTTGCAAGTAACGACATCACTAAATGAAACGATGTTTTTTTCTATCCTTTAAACCATTTCTATGGCATTTAATATATACCTTCTAAGCTAATATTATATGACTTATGAACACGATGCTATTGGTAACATTAACGTACAGATTAAGAATCAGACTTACTGTGTCCTTGGACGTAGATAATGCTGGAAGGAGCTCGAATCGGTAGTGCCTTTGGACACCAAATGTATTGTTGAGAACAAAGTGAATATTATTTACGTACTTTCCCGATGCTGTTCCGATGTCTTGCTCTGCCGCCGTACTGGTCTTTTGACCCATGAAACCAATCGATTGCACTTCTTCCAACTAGCTGCACAGCATGGCCTCTGCGGTGTGAAAAAGAAACAGACTAACGACTAAGAATAGGGTACAATTGGAAGCCGGAGGACGAGCATTTTTCTGTAGAACCACCCCAGCGGAAGTTGAGACACAAGGGCGGTCCTAACAGAGCGCTCAGAAGGTGCCGTACAAACTCCTTCTTAGTGCGGCCCCCCACAATAGTAAGCTAGTTAACCTGTTAAAAGGAAATAGTTACTTAATTTGCATATATACGTTTTCCCGCTTCCCCACACTGTGGCTAAGTATGCAGTCTAGCGAGGAAGTCTTCATACGCCTCAGTGGTGCACAAAGGCAGAAACACTGGAGATGCTTTGGTTTGGACAAGCACTGCGGACTGAAGTATGAAATCCACAGAATCTGATACACCAAACTGACTGCCCAAGAAGGATTTCCTAAGTAATCAATCAAGAATCTGCCAGATGATAGCCAAGCTCACGTAAATGAATGTGATTAAAATCACGATTCTCGGTGGTCTTGTAGTTCAGGTGGCTAGATCGCTGGCTGTATCCGAGGCTTCGCCTTTCTATAGCGCTGTCGAATCCCGTTGAGGTCGCTGATATTTTTACAGTTGGGCCAAGATAAATCTGTAGGTTTCCTGCCGATATAAACTATCAAATTGCGACCCTATGCGCGGAATTCCGAAAGGCGACCCCAAGGCTTTTGTCACTAGGGGCTGAACGTGGCGGCTTTTACGCTTTTGGCACGAATACTCGGTTAAGATTTTCGATTATCATTATCTGTCTCATCTGAGCATTGGCGGTCACTACACAAATATGCAGGATTTATTAAGAGTTTACGAAAATAATACCTAAAGAGTCTCCGTCGTTCAAAGCGTTGCGCCTGGTTTTATCCTCCAGAATCTTCAAGTTGGTAATGTTAGAACTTACCTCCATAAAATACACCTTAGACTTGTTATGGAATACTGTTCATTTTTACTTTGCTTTCTGTACGCTGGTAGTCGAAACAAAATCGAATTCGTTCGGCCTCTCCTTCTCACCTGAGTCCCAACCCTAGGAGACCGAAATTTGACTTACCAGGTGATTTAAAATGACGCCCATGAACTGGCATGTAATAATATTATAATTATTGATTCCCCGCTGCAAAAAACATCCCTGTACATTCCTTGTAACTGCGTCTGTCTAAAGAAGACCGAATAAAAGAAATTATTTTTTCCTAACCTGTATGGTATTTCCATGAAATTATCTGGCTGAGGTGACTTTATGTCTCATTCTGTGGAAACCTTTAAACATCGTCTTAAGAGCCGCTTGCTGAAACAGAAAACGAACATTGTAGCCACATAACATATTAACATTCGTTATTATGCAATTTTATGTTTGGCTCGATGCGATAATTCGGCTTTCTTGTACTGTTGCCCATACTTCTAATATACGTATATGTGACAATCGGGAGATCAAAGACGCAAGCCTAGTTCCACCAACTACGGTGAACTAAAACCCTCATCGGGAGGAATGATGAACTCCGTGTTTGATATGAATGGTACCACCGTGTTTTTTACTCAACGGAAAGAGGGCATTTTTTAGTTCTATGCTATGTTGTTCTACATGGTTTTAATGCCTTTCTGGATCTTGTGCGTTTTTCGGTACATTGGTTTCGTTTTTGTAATTAATGCGCAAACCGTGTCTGGATTGTGCCAATCAAGCTGTATCCTAGACTTCCCGCAAACGTATCACACGGTTATACAAAATCCCATCAAGATTGAACTCTCTTCCCAGGCAGAACTAGAAAGAGCCATGAAATGTTAGGGACAGACATCATAAAGTACTCAAACATTAAAGGGAAGTCAGCAGACAAATAAATTCCAGTTGTTAAACACCTTTTAAAAAGTAAGTCTAGCCACTGTTGTTTATAGGCTACGGTACGGCATCCCTTCGAAGATCGGAGCATGAGGCATGGCAGGAAAACGCTGTTGGAATTTGGTCGGCTGAGTCACTCAACAGATTAACTACTTTTCGCGTTAATCTTACAAAAGACAAGGAGGGAATCAGTGAATATATTTATAGATTAATGAAGTGCGTCACCCTCACTGTTTTGCTTAGGGTCTTCATGAGCTCCTTGTAAGCTCTTTACATATTCGAACTTCCATTTTCATTCAAATTTGATTTTTTGCCATCCTATGTATCCAACAGCTCTTCCCCCTTATTCTTGCGCCAATCCAAATCAGACGACTTTAACTGCTAGAAATAGACTACGGGTGACACAGTGGGCTGCACAATAGTTTATAAATGTGGAAATTTCAAACTTTAAATTTTCGTTTTAATCCTCCACTTACAAGGACGTTTGGGGTCCTTTAGTTTAGAAAGGTTCACCTCTCACCTGTGTCAGATTCAAAGGGGAGGTTGTGTATCCAATTAATAAAGTTCAATTTTCTGCATGGTATAGGTGTAATACAAAATGCAGTATGAATATTGATGTTGTTTTTAAGACACACCGTTTATCCTCTGGCAGCTGGAGCGTTTATGACCCCTCTTTTTTATCCTGTCATGCACGCCCCTGAAGGCATTCTTAAATACCTACTCTTCTTTCTGTGCTGTCCTCTTCTGTCTTAGAAGACGTCAGCAGATGTATTGTGTCTGTGAACGTATTCCTTCTAGCTGAATTTCCACAGTGAAAAAGGATGTTTAGAGAACTTAACTATTGGAAGGACTCTCTAAGACTCTCTAAGACTCTATCTAAGAATAGCTATATATATTTTGAAGGATAAACATATTTTGAAGAATATATATATATACATTGTCAGAAAGGAATTGGCGACATTGCTTGTTGCTATTTACGGCGGTCCAACCTTTAACTTGTCATGTGTACTCCAAAATAATATTGGTTATGCGAGGGAACTACTTTAACTGGTTGCTTACAATTCCTAGTTAAAGTTTGCATGATCGGGAAAAAAATAATGTGCAATGTACTCTAAATTTGATGCTTGCTTAGGCTTCTAGCTTAAAGGCGTAGTAATTCATAAAACATACTTTCTTTACTGACAGAACCATATGGTTCATGGAACAAGTTGTAAACCAGTGGTTTAACGAGGTCTCTGAACCGTACGTTGAACCGTTACTTTTAAATGACTAATAAACCCTAGGTGAAATGCCTGCAGTTCGCTCTAATGCTTACCTCAATGACAGAGGATGAAACAGTTTAAATAGTCGTCTACAATCCGTCACACTCATTCAGTGCATTTTGCAAGTTAAAAAAAAAACAAGATAATTTGTGCTCAGATTACATTCTTTTGTTTTCTTCAAGTTCAGATTAAGTTTTTATTTTTAGATCATATTTTCGGTTCGCTTGTCAGATGTCACAGAAAATCGGTAATAGTATGCAATAATCACGTTTGGATTGTCTCATTTTGACTTTTACTTTTGCCTTAGTTTTTAATATTTAAATATTTTGCTGATTTTGCATTTGACATGCAACAGCTCGACAGTTTTATCACATGATTTGGTTTTTTTCTCGAACACGACAGGAGCTAATCTTCATACTTCCCTATGCAAGTTGCGGTTCTTGCTTGGAAAGTGGCGCGGCGTCGGAATCGGAAGAGGTGGACCGAGCGGCCAATGGCCATATGAGGAGTTCCTTGAAATATCTACGACTGGTCAGCCGTGGATTTCGTATGTGTATGTGCTAGAATTTTGTCAACAATTGATTTGGCTGCAATCATTGTATTTTCCAAATAGTCTCCAACTAATGTACATAAATATTTTCAATGCGCATACCTTTTTCGCTAAAACCAATAGACATATGTTGATCTGAGCTTTCCTGCTCCCTGATAGCTCATGTGTCGTGACTGATGATGTCCATCTTGTACTCCACAGCAGGATTAGAACAGGGACGATGACTTGTGTGTGAGTTGATTTAAAATGATGGTAGACTTGCGTGGCACCTACCGCACTCTCGCCCCCTCCCAAGGCTGAACCTCGTGTCAAAACAGGGTAAAGAAGACCGGAGGCGGGATAGGGTCCAGGTGGCTGGCACGGCGCGAACCCGCACCTAGGCGTGCCACCACACCCCCTGGTCCACAACGTACACTGAGCAGGGTTTCACGTTGGAAAGAAGGGGGCGGCTCAGATCCCACTAAAATGCCACATTTAACAAGAACCATTGGAGCCTGACTCTCAGTCTGCCAGTTGGCCACTGGGCTGACTGAAAGGTCCAAGTTATTCACTCAGTTGGTAGTATTTCAAGCCACGGCTTTTCGAGGTCCGTGATAGATTCAAGCGCGTCAGATTGTTTACCATGAAGAAAATGCGCTGAGATGACGAGCTCGTTCTCTTTCCCATTCCCAGACCCCAGCCACTGTCCGAGCCGGTCAGTTATTTGGTGCGGGGAATGGGCGTAGTGACTGACACAGCAACTGACCTCGCCTGCGCGCGCCGCATGCACGACCCGGTCCTCCAAACACAGGCACCAGGATTACACACAAGGGAGGTGGGCGGCATGAATCTCACATTCATTAGAGTGCCGGCGGTCATGTTAACAAGGAGCCACTGCAGTCTGGATCTTAGTCCACCAGCTGTCCACTCAGCGCAAACATACACTGGGCTGACTGTGAAGTATAAAATACATCTTCAGTTGGCAACCTTCCAAGCCACGGTTCTTTGTGCGCCGTGGTAATCCCAGGCTCGGACTACTCATGCAGCAGAGGAGTCACGTGAAAAAGGAGCCAAGAAACTCACTTCCCACTTGCATGAAAGTTGCCAATTACGTGCTGGCGCCATATTATTTTGGGTGTGGTCGTGTGTGTTGTTTATGCTAACGAGGAGAGATGTGGTGGTATGGTATAGCGGGCGTTTTTCCACTGGTTTTCATTATGTGTGAGTGAATGTGTGTGCGCTATGAGGGTGGGTGCGACGAGTTTATTTCGGAACTTCGGGCCCTGGTGCACCGGTCACAATGTGATGGACTCGCAGGTAACCGACCAGGCTGATGCGTGAGTTGAATGTGCAATCACAATGTTTACGGGTTGAGGTCGAGTCTCCATTGCTGATGGTGGGGACTGTAGTGATGAAAGTACTAGTTGACGGGAGGTCGGGTGTCGTCTCATCTTTGGTGGTAAGAGGAAAAGTGATGGTGTTGGTAGAGCTGGTCGCTGTCATTGACGCAGGGTTTGGAGCAGGGAGGATGGTGCCGATAATCGAGGGCGGCGGAACATCGGTGTTGTGATCAAAGGTGATGGGTGTAGTCATCGTAGGGTTTGAGGCAGGGCTAACAATAGGAGGTTTTCGTTGATGAATGTTGCCGGGTAGTTACATTGCGTTCAAAGGTGTCCCAGCGAGCTCAATTTGCGCGCAGAATGTGCGTTGACAGCGTGAGCATGGTGGAAGCGGTTGGCTATTGAGGTTGTGAATCCGAGGTGCTTGTGACTTGCTAGTTGCCCTTAGACTTTAACAGTGGGATATCTGGCTTGCCTCGTAGATTGTTGCGCCAGTCTTCACGGCTCTTCTCCAGGCCCTTTCAGGCCTCCGGCTTCGTAAGCAGTCGCTTCAGAAAGTTCTTTAGAGTATCCTGGTAACGTCTTTTCTGTCCTTCCTGTCGATGAGCACCCGTAGCGACAGCATCGTAGACCAGTCGTTTGGGTGATCGCTCATCGCTCATTTTCGCTAGATAGCCACTCTATCGCGGTTCCGGTTGCCTCCGCGTGGCGTCGAGGCTAAGGAGTCCGGTACGTTCCAGGACTTACGTGTCCGGGATCCTGTCCTGCCACCGCAGCTTCTGGATACGGCGGAGGCAGCGAAGGTGGAAGTGATTGCACCTCCTGGCATGGCTGGAGTAGACGGTCCAGGTCTTCGATCCGTGAAGAATTGTCGTCAATACGACGGCCTTGTACATCTTCAGTTTGGTATTCAGTTGGAATCGTGGCGATTCCATATGGAGACTTGCAGGCGGTCGAAGGCCTGCCTGGCTTTGGAGATCCGATGGGCAACCTCGTCGTCGAATTATTTGCCGCGCAAGAGTGTGCGTCCAATATAAGCGAAGTTACCCACTGTTTCAAGTTATTTGCCGTTGGCATTGATTTGAGGATTACCGTATTCCGGACAGAAACAGTGCCTACCAGTTGAGACGCAATACGACAGTACGTTATGATAATAATGAGATTATCTCTTGAAAACTAGTAAAATCAGGGACTTTTGCCCATAATGACATTTCTTTTAAAAGTTTTATTTAACCTGAAAAATTGGTGAAGAAAATATGTCAACTTTACAAATGGATTGCTAAATTCGGTAAATCTAAAATAAATGCGCAGAACGGGTTTCCTTTCCCAGTGCTGTTTTTGGGGTATCTTGACAAATTGTTTTTTTTAGTTTTGTGTGACCTTTTCATTTAAGCAATTGTTAAACATAAACTTTTAGGCCGCAGCTGAAACTTAAACTAGTGAAGGCAGAGTCATCTTTATTTTCTCCAACCAATATACCTAGTGGGTTTAGCATTCCGCCGACACTTTCTCATTCTGGTCACCAAAGAATAATAGAAAAATTTGTCTCAAGATGTATGTTTGTACTTATTCACCAAACAATGCTCTGCTTCAAAATGGGCCCCAGAAATCATGTTTACATTTAGATTGATCGAAGAAAAAAGATGTGCTTATATTTAGGGCATTTAGAGTTTTCAACCATTTGAATGGAATGCTAAAGTAATGGAAATTCGACTTTATCACTTTTCCCCAAAATTAAGCGGAAACGGTATCAAAGATGGCTCCCCCAGACACTGCGAAATGGGCTTCTTTAGATGCCATACGGACGGCCATGTGTCAATGTGCCTTACGGACACCCTTGGTATGCCTGAAATACGCATCTTACGTATTGACTTTTTGATGCCAAACATTGAATTTCCATTTCTTTGTGTTCGTTTATGTGCGTATGCCAACATATCAAAGCGAAATGACACGAAAATAGCGGCGAGATACTAGAAACAACCGGCAATATAACAACCTATTACCCTCCAACCACCATCTCTGCCGTTTTGAGCCGTTTAAACCACTAAGTTTTACCTAGATTGCCAAACAATGTCACTTAGAAAAATCGATAAGGTTACTGTCTAATGGACACGGATTTATTCTGATTTTTTTCACAATTGTCAAAAGTGGTCGCGAAGAAAGCTCGACAAAAGACATTCTGTCCTTGCAACGTGAAATCATGGAGCTGTTCGTGCCCCGTGCTATAGCATAACGCACAAGCGGGCGCCGGGTGCCCAAATGTGCCTTTATTTTCACCACAGCATGCGAAGGACTGGGTTTTGCCAAAATGGTGTTCGTTGACACCCGCTATTTGCTGGAACTTTTAGATTACCAGATAATACACTCGATAAAAGGTCAATTATAAGCTTCTATACAATGCTCAATATCGGAGACCCCTACGAGACAACTACTCGGAAATAAACCAAGAAAGTGACCCAGAGTGTGTTTTTTAAAGAGTTGATCGGTACCAGAGTTAGGCTTTGCGTTTCTTAGGTGCTTATTTGATTATTCATAACTAGATGCCAGTATGTAAGTTGCAAGCGCTACCGTATCTGCTAAACGAATTGTCAGTAGATGAAATGACATCAGGTTGACTCCTATGTCCGTCCAAATATTCTTTGTCTTATCAACCTTAATCGGCATCTCTCACTTCTGCACTTTCAACGGTAATAACGTCTGAGAAGGACTGATTTGCAGCTTTTCTGAACATCTAATAATAATATAGCACCGTAGGACATGATTGTGTAGTTCTCAGATTCGTGTTCCCCCTGGGCGATCTCGACTGGGTCATGCGATAGCCGAACAACAGCCCGTCCTTGTGCATCCTAACCAGTTTTCAACTAGCAGCCTTTTTCCGAACTATCATTGCGGTTGATAGAGGTCGAATGACTTCTTGCCGTTGAGTTTGCATTTTTCAGCCGCATTATCTGAGTGGCCATGTTTGTGACTGTCACTCAGAAGAACTCAGGAAATCAGACCGTCAGTTTTAAGAGACCTTCAGTCTGCTTGATACTTAACCGTTACCTACCTTAGAGTCGTTAATTGCCCCAAAAAATTCCATATGGATATTCATTGTCCCTGGAGAATTCTCAGAGTCGACAGTGATTGACCTCCGGTATAATGCAGTGAGGTTCCTGTACATGTACGCAGTCAACTATGTGGTGTAGCGAGTATTTGATGTGGTGTCATATAATTTGTGGTTAATTTGAAGGTTTTCTGAAATTTGTTGTGCCTTACAAATCATAGATTTGGCAACAAGATACGCAGATCTTGAAAGGGAGCCAACCACCTATTTCTCTCATTGTTGCGAAGTGCATGTGAGAAAGACTGGATTTAATTGATTTTGAGTTTATAATCTCGCAAAACCCCCTTTGAGGAGCTTGGAGGACGACCACAGTTATCAGCCCATAAATCGGAGGACCAATCGACTTTCCATGACCTGTTGTGTGTGGTCTCATCATACTTAAAAAGAAGACCTTAGTTTGTTCTTGAGATCCTGTCTGTGATTTTCCTGGCAGCATTTAAGCGTCGGGCATCTTGTCGTTTCCGTGGACTGACATGAAATGACTCCACCATCTCACACGGCGCAATTTTAGCGCCTTTGGGACGACTCCGGAAAAGGTCGACTGCGTGTATCGTCATTCGGGAACCTAGTTTGCGATCACGTAGCAAACGTTTTCATCAGAAAGGAGCCAGAACGTCCACATCCTTGAAGGACTTCGTTACCACGCTATAGCTCATTCTGTGAACTTGGGAAGAAACGAGTTCTCCTTTGTGATGACTTATGGTTGGCCGACTCGACGAGGGTTTTACAAATGACGCTCCGCATTCTCTCAGCACACAGCCGACTTTGTGGTTTTTAATAGCAGACTTGATACCTATCCTGGTGAAATCTGTCTCCTCAGATCATAGATGGCAGTCACATTTTGGAGTCTCATGGGTACACACTCATAACCCTGTTAGTATATTCCCCTCGGAATCGAGTTTGCGAACTTGATGCAAATTCTTCGGCATATACCTTCGCAGATTCTGTTTAAACCTTGATATAAATATTTGAACTGCTGTCGATCGGTTTCAGCGAAATAACCGCGGAATATTTACATCCCGCAAAAAGCAGTCAGTAGTGTATAAATACTGATTTACTTTCCATACGCCAAACACGGGTGTTAGCTAAAAGACCACACGTTTCGCCATTTTATGCCGCCTCCTAATGCAACTGCGAGGGTTTCGTCTCGTCAATGAACCTTTCTGAATACCCCGTAGGCTGTAGTGCGAAGTTGAAAAAACAGTTGTCTGAGTTCAGGTTAGTAAACGTAAGAGATCCGGACTGTCGGTGTTCAGGGCTTGCCGGATCCGGTGAGCCCCGCACATTTGTCATATGTCTGTGCGTTTATCTACCACCCATCCAGGGAGCGGCATACATTGTTAAATACCTACAAGCCCTTTCTTTATGAGCTGGCTGAATAGACGAATTTCCCCTAATATGTTTATTAGAGACACGCATCTTCGTCAGTTCGTTCGGATACTAATTTCCCGCACACCTCTGAGGATAAAGCAGAGTGAAAAGTTTCTCAAACTAGCGCCACAAACCCTATTTTCACCCCACTTGTCGACAAGGTTGGGAGAGTATTCTCCGGTGTTTTCAGTGGAGCTACGACAATAAGATCACACTAAATCTATAGGTTAAACTGATTGTATTAATCGATAGAAAGGCCATGTACTTACCAAAATCTGTAATGCAACGCCACTATTTTACTGGCTTTCTTTACCTGAGCAAGGGCTATTTGAGAAACAATAAGCCCGACCTCTGACTTCCTTTGATAGAGTTTTGCAGTTTTGGAGGAAAGTGTTGCAACTTTTTACGGAACAAATGAACTTTGCTAGAGTCGCGATTTTGACTTTTTAAAGAAACGTATACACTTTCCCTAGGTAATGCATACTTGCTAATGGGCAGGCTGCAGGAGGACGAGTCAGCACCCTCAACGTTCACTCTGACGACAGAATCTGTTGTTTCTCCCTTCTTTGGTAGACAACCTCGCGTGACCAAGGTTAGTTAAAGCCCTTTAGAAAAGCAAGTTACAGGCACATGATTTTTGTTTTAGAATTATTTGAGACAAATTCATTTTACAGTTCCTTTCTTAGCTTTGTCTGCACCTACATATATGTTTGTGTATCGAGTGTGGCGGCAAGCCTTGGCGACACGCCGGTCGCGCCAGCCACCTGCTCCCCTCTCCCTTCTTTGGTATTGTCGACTGTGTATTGACACAGGGTTTAGGTAGGGAGAAGGAGAGAGTGCGGTAGATGCCGCGCAAATCTACTATTGCCAGGTCTTGCGGCATGCGTGGGTAACCCGTTTTACTTTGTCAGCCGTAGCGACCAAACTCACCCCAGGTTGTCTTTTCATCGGAACCAGGTGGGTGGGGAAAGGGGAAGTTACGTAGTTGCAGCGCATGTGAAGTCCGCCCCATTAAAATAAATTTACGTGTAAGCTAGCCCCGCGCCCACCGTATGGAGAAGCGGAAGACGTCACTTGCAATGGTCAGACTGTTGTTCGTGTGTTTTAAAACAATATGTTCGCAGTATTAAAGAAATGCCGCGGAGTTAATTGCGGGAGACACGACCTTCTTAAAACCAACTCGGAAATCTTAATGTATCTTTGAACCCCTAGCTGGTTTCTTTTTGGGAGTATGATGGAACCATTTTAAAACTGGAAAAGTATGCATTCCTGACTGTTTCGATGAGCAGCGTAAGCTCTTTGCAAAAAGTCGAGTTGTGCTTATGAATTTTCAAGCCCGTGATTCCAACCTGTCGTCAAACAGAGTACAACAGAAGTTGTGGGTTTACCACACTAGAGCGAAGGCAGGCGGGAAGCTTTAGGAGTGGCGGGTGCAGAACGCGATGTTTGGATAAAAGCGTGATTGTACTGACGGATTAAAAGATTGGAAGAGAGAATGCCGGCTCAGTGATAGTCTGGATGACTGGACATGGATTACCAATTGCCGTTTCACGGTGGACGCAGAGGACCAGTAAGCCACGCACGTGGGCCTTAGTAGTGAACGTTCCGGTCGATACTGCCTGTATTGGTGGCACCGAGTCTCAAAGGGACTATTTCGCCTGTTTTTGTGTTTGCCATGACGATCACTTCAACATCGTCTCATTGAAAGCGCTTGTCACTTTTGAGTGCGCGCACAAAGAGTGACGACGGGCCATGCCAACGACAATCGACCTGCGTTCGTCTGAATGAGACCCCAGACTGCCAATGTAAATGCAGGAGCCATTAGTGTATTAAATAAGGTAAACAGCGTTGGCCCCCTTGTTCCTTAGGAATGGTATCCGCTAACCGAGAAAGGGCTTTTTGAAAGGAAAAACTAGCTTGTGGACGGTGCTGATACCAAACCGATTTCAATACCGGACGATCACTTCAGAGTTTCCTTGTCCATACGACAGGCCGTAGAATTTTTCAGTGTAATTCCTCCATTAGGAATAATGCCTTGTCGCCGATTCTGACGTCTGGGATTGTTTTTCTTCAAAAAAAGTGATCGCATGTACACTGAACTAGAACAACCGATAACGTTAAGCCAATTCTTCTTAAGTTAGGTCGTCTCAGTGCAGTAAATGCCCAGCGAAAAGAGCGGAGGCACATCTTTTGTCGACTAAAGGTGGTTGCTTCCGTAAGTGTGTATAGTCACGCCATCGGAAATTTTCCTGTATAAACATGCTGTACACCTATCGTCCGCCAGTTTTCGTATAGTTATGAGAGCTAGATACGGGAGACCGTTTTTGTTGCATTTTGAGTAAGTCTGATGCCTAGAAAGGTATTACCCGGCCTCTGGTGCAATTGTAAGACTTAGAAGTTCTCTGCTGAAACGACAGAATAGGGCAAATTTACACAGAACTGTCTCGAGTGTATCTTGTCTCGATTCAGCCAACCACAGCTCTGCGCAACGCACAGGTGATCCGCAGACAGGATCTACCAGATTAGTTATAGGCGTTTCATCGAGCCGAAGACCTTCAGTAGCTTGCCACCTGGAATTCTCTATCGCTGTAGATGTGGCATTAATTGAAGCGGGACAGCGATCTATTGGTTTCCCAATCCGCTGTCATAGCTTGGCTGATTATGGTCTGGCAGGTGGTCGTTTATTCGTAACCTCTGCCACCCATTCGGGGCCTGTTTGCGTCCACCAATCAGGTTACGGGTCATGCTCCTCACGTTGTGCCTTGGGGCTCAATCTACAGCCCTCGTTGGCAGTCACACATTGGATAGTAATATATACGGGAAACTACCGACAAAGACAAGGCAACTGTGACAGCCACTTCTGGCTTATTGGCCGTCGCCATCCGGTCATACGCAACCCCAGCTCTGTGGGACCTGGGATTCGAACCCTGGTGTATTCGTTATTGAGCGTTTGTAAGTTCGGAGCTCCACCATTGGGCCACGCGCCCGTTGTCCTGTCAGTTGTGATCGGGAATACTTACTGTCGTAGGAGGGTTACTCACTGCGGCTCAATGATAAACCGAGGACTCTAGATGATGTCATAAGGAGCGACGGGACGAGTGTGTCCTCGTAACCCGACCGTCAAACTGCCGTTCAATCACACCGCTTTTTTTCAAAGCACTCGACCAGTAGCTTAGTCACATGATGTCCAAGTCACGTGTTCGTCCATATACTCGGGAAGCAATGTGGTGGTCGCATCGTAGATGACCAGCTATGACATATTCAACAATGAATAACCTATCTCCGTCCCTCACGCACGTATTCATTGCATACTATATTTCGTGTAGGTGGAAAGGACCTACACACGATCCGGCGATTCCCTTACAATGCATGTCAGAATGGCTACCACAAACGATGATGAGTTGACAGAACATGTGCACATTAACTATGTGCCAGACGTCACTTCGGAGTAGACTTGGAGTCCAATGCTCTCCTTTCTTGATCATCAGCTGTCTCTTTACCTTTCCTTGCATATGACAGCACATTTTACTGTCCCGATCTCCCGTTATCCATCTATTCTTTTTGATTCTTATCGAGGCTTTTTGAGCACATATAATTGAATTGTTTTGAGAGCTGTTTGCAGTGCATCAGTGGCGTGATATGCGTTAAGTTGGCTTCAAAGACTTCCAAATATCGATTTCAAGTTATTCTTTTGAAGTCACTAGAATAGTAGTACCTTAACCTCGGGTGCTGATGTCTGAGGTTTAAGACCGGCTTCGTGGTGTAATTCAACATTTTCAGTCAGTGGCTTTTATCGCTGAAGCTTCTGCGTTCACATTCCATAGACGGATGCCTTTAATATTCAGTGCATTTCGGAATTACGTTTTATTCCGTCTTGCAATCCGAATTGCTAAATAGCAACATTTCACGTACCAAGTAAAAAATCTCTAGCTGGCAGTAAGACATGCCAAGAAAAGGTACCAACATCTAGGTACCACTCCTGGTTTATTTTAAGTAATTACTTGTCGTTATGCGACTGCCTGCAAGGGCTCTAGATTGGACCCCAAGGTGCGACGGGGCGAGCCTGTCCCGTAATTTGATTGGTGCACGCACTCCTACTACAGCAAAGCAATTTTTAAGCAGTAAAGTAACTCCTCTGCCGCCCTGTATATTCGCACAGGAGTATGCGCTTGTCGAAGTAGTGATGTACAAAACAAACAGAAGAAGAAGATTGGTCGAGCACCGGAACATTCTGTTTATTGTTCTGAGCTTCCGAACTCGTACAGGAACCCATCGTCAGAGTTAGTAGCAACAAATGAACGAGCAACAATTATAGGGCGCGCTAACCAAACATCGGTCGGTGACGCAAGACTGGGGGTGACTGCACAGACCTGTACGCTGGCGCCAGATCGATAAGTCGACTGACTGAGTTCTCAACCGAGTCCAAGGCTTCAGTCAATCCTCAGCCTGTTTTATTTCCGGTGTGAGCGTTTATCTTCGCGGCTGCAAAGGTAAGCTCAGAAACCATTTTGCAGCCATCAAGATAATCACCCACGCCGGAAACAAAACAGGCCGATAATTGATTGGGGCCTGGGCCTCGGATGAGAACTCAGTCAATCGACTTATCGATCTGGCACCGGCGTGCAAAGGTCTGCGCAGTCACCTCCAGTCTTGCATCACCGACCGATGTTTGACTAGCGCGCCCTATAATTGCCGCTCGTTCTGTTGGTGTTACTGTTTCTGCCAATGGACTCCTATGTGATTTCAGAAGCTCAGAGCAATAAACGGACTGTTCCGGTTCTCGATCGGTCTTACTCTTCTTATACACACACATGGAACTCGAACTCTCGCCTCCATTTGTAAAACATAAAATGCTGAGTATTCTGACGAAACGAAGAATACACGGAGTTCTTTAATGCTCTCTGCCTTATGTGTGCGTCATCAGTATGCCATCGGTAGAGCACAATAACATTTCGATAGGAAGATTGTATAAAGGAGTGCGCAGGGCGCTTGCGTAGTTTGGTTGACAGACTACCATAGGAGAGGCTGCGTTTGACCAGATACTTAAGAAAGTTACTGCTCGGGAAGGTTCGTGAAATTCGGCCGAGAAAAGTGCACCTGCTACGATCTTTACGTTGCCGGGTTCTCTCGCACGTCGTTTTCCGCATTTTTCTAGCGCGTGTCTAGGAGTAAGGACGTCTACTAACCTCCAGCCCTCCAAGAATAAGTTGAAACGGCCAATGGCGAAAAGTACTGTTATCGCTCAAAAGCTTATTCTCAGAAAAATCCCATCCAATGCATTTTTCACACCATATAGCAACAGTTCAGAAAATCCGCGTGTGGTACAATGTGGCTTCGGCCAGTCGACCCTTTCGAACGAAAGCTTGACTTATGCTTTGTTTGGGCTAAAGTTAGGTTTCCGGCACAGTGGGCAGCGCAGCACTTAAGAAGTGCTTTAAAATTTCAAGTACACAGGTCCTTAACTGTCTAAATTCTACCGTGGGGACACTACCAATATTATTGGTTCTGGGCGAATAACAGCAGTACGGTTCCCAGTAAGGATACGCTCTAGTCACCTGCCCTCCAACCCCTTTTGGTAAGTGAAATAAATCGCGCAACAAGAGGTCTCGGACGCCGATTCCATCGCAGCTGCCGGGACCGATGGGTTTTCCTTTCACTCGTGTTGTTTGAGTTTTTTAATCGAAGACAGTTTGTGACCTCACCCCCTCCCCCGGGCACCACCTTTTTATGTCTGCTCTGCCGACCCTTAAACATGTAGTCCGCAACTTATCGCCAAGAGCGTCACAGCAGCCTCCCACCTTTTGATCTTGCCGCGGGTCTTAGAGGGATAAACAGTCGGTCTCAGTTTGCTGATATTCGTCCTCTGATAAGCAACGGTGAAGGAATCCCAAGGACTCTTGGAGGGTACACAACCCTAAATAGTATGGGTAAGGAAATGAAAGCCAAAACTTGAGCAACCCTCCAAATATCCGGTATTAAATGAAAATAGCGGTGAGCAAATCAGCTATTTTATATAGTCCCAAAATATGACGAATTGTCCGAACGATTCAATTCACGCTTCCGTGAGGTTAGCACCGGCTAACTATGGGCATGTTGGCATGCTAGCAAAGTTACTTCGACTGATTTAAACATAATGTTACAAAAAAAATCGGTGGCTTTCCAAGTGGTGGGCAGAGTGCCTTCCTCGTCATCAATTCCGACGTCCATCAAGACTGATCTCCGTTACGACCTCTGATCAAACATCTAGAAGGCCGTACCTATTAGCACTCATCGGCATGCAACCCCTGCGTAATCATGTGTCTTGCTTTTCGTATCGCATGTCCGACTATTCTGATAATACTGTGGTGCAGGCGAGCTCCTTCAAATATAACAGCGGGTCATGGTATCGAAGATGCCTACCCGGTCATGACGTATTCTGACACTCCCGGACTAATTGATAATTTCTGTCATCTTTTGTAGAACTTTCTGCGGAAAGGTTAAAGTAGGGAGGGGATTGGTTAGAATTCTTGCGCACAGTCTCTTAAAAAGCATAAATTCTTATCTTACATCTCTGTCTTAGGGTAGAATCGTAAGCTTACCTATAGGCATATCTTTTATGTGGGGCGTAGACCTAGAATTCTACTTCAAATAATTATTTGCCAACCTATTTCGCAACAGGTAAAACGGCTAGGTTACGTGCCACGATAATGATAAACCCACTTATAAGCCAGAACAAGATGTAGCCTGAACCGCAACTCTTAGCCCCAGTCCTAAGGCACAGTGAGACAAAAAACATAAACCACCAGCCAGAAACACTACCTGTCAGCTCTGAACATCTTACCTGTCCGGAGTTCATACTGCCCGACTCTCACCCCGGCCAGCCACGTCTGCCAAATGACAGATTAGGGGAGTGACAAACGGCTACCTCCAGCGCATCGCGGACGTAGTGGCCTGAGGGTCTCGGGTGCCAGTTCAACGTTTTCAAAGCCCTGAAAATTTAATACAGGGCGGACAACACTAGTGCCGGTACAGGCAAGAACAGCGATCTTATCGCGTTGGATTTGTTTGGGGAATTTAGTCAATCATTTCGCGAACTGTCATATCTTGTAATAGACATATTAGTAAATCTGGTGTGAAAGTTTGGGAAAACATAAACACAGAAATAATGAAACTTCGTCTATATGTTAGTACACTGTTGCTTAACACAAAAGCTTAACAGATTACTCCAGAAGACAGCACAAAGTGACAAAGGCCAAAAACTCACCGGTGCGAAAAATTACCGATCGCCAAAACAGGACATAATTACTTGAAGGCATTAAATGGATGTCTGATGGTTGACCCTCGACTCTAAGCTGCGGAACTGTTTTTTGGCAACCACAGCCTGCAGTCGGTTATTCGCGTTTTAACGGTTGATGGTGCATCCCCAAGAGCGACATGTTTATGTAAACCTCGCTTTACCACTCAGTTATCGGGTGATCCTCGTGGCACTTATTCTTTCGGAATCGCAGCTCACCTGCACAGTTCTAAGTTAAAACTTTAAATTAATATTTCCTTCGAGTATGCACCTTTGAAAACGGGATGGTTTGTAAAACAAAAATCAAAACGATCTTTTTGATAACCAGCATTATTTCGATGGTTGCACAGGGTGCAACCTGAGTAGGCCGGATTGCTTTTTGTTGCGAGGCCTACGTCAGATTCCAAATATCAAACAGAAGGCCAAACTTTTTCGTCGGAAAATAGACAACTTCACCCAAACTAAGATTTGCAACTTACTCCATACCAGACGACTACCGCCTAACTGTTACACAAATAGGCTAGCAACGCCATGGGGGCTTTCATATCGACAGCTAAATTTCCTGTCCCACAGTTCGGAATTTTGGAATAGTCGCTTCATGCAAAAAATTGATTTTTCTCTTACACCGAGGAATATTAAATCTACTTTTATCGCGTTTTCATAAGGGTTTAACTATAAAAGTTTCCGAGATTTATTTTACGTCAAGATCAAAGCCTTTGTTTTTAAATTTTTTTATTTTCGCTATACCTTGTAAAAGACCTGCAGTCCTTTTGTAAATGCAATGGGATAGCATGATCTCGTCAAATCCGCCCAACACGCCGTCAAGCAATCATCCCTACAATTTCTTCATTACTCACCAATAGATTGATTACATGGGCGCGGGGACTTATCCTCCTAATACTTTTATCAGCTTTATTTTTGGTTTCGAGAACGAGACAAGTAGACCGTTAGAGATATTACAATGGCCCCAAGTATGAACCAAAATTATCTAATTAGTCACTGAATCGGTATGTTTTTCGCATTTGCCTCAGCAGTCCACTCTGTAGAAGCCTTCTTAAAAGCATGTTGTATGCCTGAGAGGCGTACTTGGTAGACTGAGTAGTAACAGACCATTTTGGTTGCAGTACTTATTGTTGCTTGATAAAATTACAGAATTAAATTTGGTTTGTCCGCGACGTC